TTCCAATGCTTACCGTACCACCTCCGCCGAGATGAAGGAGGCAGACAAGGTGATCGAGGAGGACGTCATAAACATGCGGGAGGCCGCTGAATGTCATCGCCAAGTACGGAAGTATGCCCAGACCATCGCGCGCCCTGGTAATGGTCAACATGCAATATTGAAAATGTTGTTAGAATATCGATGCAGGTATTAAGATGATCGACTTGTGCCAAGCCATTGAGGGGAAGACTAGGGAGCTTTTGGGTGCACCTCCGATGGGCAGTGATGATCCTAACTTCCTCGCCAAGGGCTATGGCTTCCCTACTGGATGTAGCGAAGGCATCTAACGCTACGTTATTGGACCAGCTCCCTATAGGTTCTTTGAATAACGTGGCAGCCCACTATAGTCCCAACTACGGTGACAATACTGTCTTGAAGGAGGGTGATATCTGCAAGCTCGATTTTGGCACACAGGTGGGCCTAAAAAGAATCTTAGGTCGGTTACATTGCGTGTCTTAGGTCGGCGGACGTATCGCGGATTGCGCATTTACTATTGCCTTTGACCCGAAGTTCGATCCTCTTATTGAGGCTACTAAGGAGGGCACCCGAGCTGGCGTCAATTTTGCTGGTATTGACGCGAGGTAATGACTAACGCATAGACTGGCCTATTACATACCACGCTTCTCGCAGATTCTCTGAGATTGGGGAGGTCATCCAAGAGGCTATAGAGAGCTACGAGTTCCTAGAAAGGGATGGTGCCGAGGTAATATCACCAACGGTGACACTACTTAAAGTCGGTCCAGGCTATCCCCATCAAAGCCATCGAGAATCTGAGCGGGCACTCACTAGGCAAATATCAGATGCACGGCGGGCAGGGCGTTCCCATTGTGAAGAACGACGAGCCGGGCTGCATGGAGGAAGGTATGGTAATTCACGATGGAATTTTGTGGCGAGTGACGTTTTCAGGCCAATTCTATGCCATTGAAACCTTCGCGAGTACAGGACGGGGCTACTGTATAGAGGAGGGCGAATGTAGTCATTACATGCGCACTTTCGATGTACTATCTGGCGATTCTCCTCCCTTGTTTTCACTCCCCCCCCCATCCAGT